GGTGTACATGTCTTTTGTGGACCTAGAGAAAACGCAATCCCGGATCCCACGCAACAGTCTGTGGTCATGCCTTCGTGCATGCGGGATAGATGAGCAGCTGCTAAGAACCAACCAATCACAATATTCTCGTAGCAGGTGCTGCTTCCGAGTTAACGGCGTTAAGTCGAAAGAATTCAACGTTCGCACCGGTGCCCGCGAAGGCGGCGTCCTGACTACTATCGTGGCTTGTAATGTACATGGATAGAATAGTCAGGAGTTGCGAAGGCGAGGAAGGTATCGGTGTAGGAGGTGTGAAGTCGAGAAGGTTGCTTTTTTCAGACAAGCTTGTTTTATTAGCGTCTTGTGAGACTGATCTTCAGTGCTTCCTAGAAAGGTTCAGTCGAGTGCGACGTGACCGGTATGCGTGTGAACGCATCAAAAACGAAAAGAATGCTGCTTTCTTATTCTCCTGCCCGTTGCTCTCTTCTGGGTAAGCGAGAGGCAGTGGAACAGGTGGTGAAGTTCAAGCACCTCGGAATATTATTTACTGGTGATGAAGACCTGGAGGAAAAGATCGACCGGCGAATTGGAGTCTTCGGTCGCGTTCCGCATGAACTAGCCCAACCGATTTTGACATAAGCTGAGTTCAGTCTGAAAACTTATCTCTCGATATTGAAGTCTATCTTAATATCCATGCTTACATACGGTGATGAATCGAGGAGCATCAAGGAAAACCTGCGAAGCCTGGTGTAAGCTGCTAAAATGTGCTTTCTGAAACGAGTCACTCGCCTTACGCGTCTCGACATGTTCCGGAATAGTGTCATCGGGAAGAGCCTTTGCTTCTCCAGATTGAGAAGTCATAGATGCGATGGTTTGGGCATGTGTTGCGAATGCCTCCAGAAAGAAAGGCTAAACAGCTGTTCTTTGCAAATCTGACGGGCAGAAAGCCTAAGGAATGGCCAAGATTAGCATGGTGCACATATATGGGAGGTGTTTTATCCCGACTCAGTTTATCTTTTGCCGAAGCTCAGACTCTGGCACAGGATCGGGAACGTTGGACACTTTGTCTGATGTGTCTGCCTCCGCTACCCAAAATTAGGCGACGATGGAAGATGAAGATGATGTTTAAAGTATATAAGAAATGTTTCATATACTTGAAAATTAGTTTTAAGCAAGATTACTTTACGGATGAATTAATATAATTCATCAATGTGGCTACTGAAAGCAAGTGACCTGCGTTGGGTATATCAGTCGATTTATCGTTTTTACAATATCGTCCATTACAGAAATAACCTTTCGCAAGGTGTAATCAACTGCTCAACAACTTTACATTTAGAACAATAATATATCAATAGATAAACTCGAAACTGTGCACCGATAGAAAACTTAAGCTGCGATCTATAACAGATGAGCATTTCTCTAGAGTATAGGTGTTCACATGCTACACAACGCATGTATAAATGTCATTCTCAAGATCTTAAGTGCTGGTTGATTCACTAACAGCTGCAATTTGTACATAAGAGATGTGCCTCATTATATGAAATGGTCTCGGTACGTGGTATCATATTCGGATTTAAGTATTATGAAAGGGGTGGGAAATGTCATGTACGAGCAAGTCTTGCTGAATAAATATGATCAACATTTAGTTATTCCGAGAATCCGCATACCCAAAGATTTACTCAATGATACATTAAATGCATCAGGGTACCTGCAAATGAGGAAAGTGTTATGAAATTAGAAATGGAAACATTTTTTTTCGGCACAAAAAGAAAAGCTGATATTTTATCCTTAGCTCCTTTGTGATATTGTCATCTGTTCGTTGTGGTTAAAATCTGCTTACTAAAATCGCATCATACTGAATTTGCAGTACTAAAAAATTACAAAAAACGAACGCCGCTACCAACACAACTGAATGGCGAAGTGTTAAATAATCAATAGCTTCCGTTTCCTGCGAGTCCCTCGTCTCCGCTGACTTCTAGAAAATCGGGATCCATTTTTACATGTGTACTGCAAGATAACTAGACGGTTTGCTCATTTAGTAGCTGAAAAAGAAGTCTTGCTCTCTAGAGATATGTTCGATACCATTCACCTGAAAAACGAAGCTCCAGCCTGAAGGCTGAATATGCTCCGTCCTTTGAAGGCAAAATTTATACAAGAAAGTAGAAGCTGATCACGTAGCTTACCATGAACTTGCGCTGGATACACAGAATGCAGCATTCAAGATACTAGACATCTGCACAATAAGTAGTCTAACTCTTATCACAAATTCCTTTTGCCATACTCTTTGGGCAAAATGCGTTTACGACGGCTTTAAAAATATCGTCTCGATAATTGGAGTACCTTGGTCAATTCCGATTTAAGTTCTCGCAATGCAATTCAAAGATCTGAATGATGCTCCTAATATTTATACTTCTGACCTAGAATACGCTGACTGAAATCACAGCCGTTGCTCAACGATCTTTGCAAGTAATTTAAACCTCCACTAACCTGTTTTCTAACCTTGATATATACTCCGTCTCCTTCTGCTAGACCAGGAATTCATTTCTTGCATCGTCTTGCCAATGCTGCTGGTCTTCAAAGTTAATTGACGTCATTATTCTGGATACTTTGTCTTTGAAGCTGATATCCCAGATGATGATGACAACAACGAAGTTCAAGCTACTTCTAGAGCATTTGCTTGAATAACAGGAATCAATTAAATAGTCATGTGACATATGCAAGAAGCGAAGAAATTCTTTTCTAGGGAAATGGCAGTTTTTCGGTATTAAAAATAATGTCAAGTTTTCCGAATACTCATCAGGCAAAGTTGAATCTTCTGCTGGAGTGAACATTTTTGCTCGGAGACATTAGAGGTATTTAGCATTCGGTTACGTCATATTTTTATGATTGTTACGGAAGCTTCCTGTATCTGATTGATTTATTATTACTTTAGTCCATTTGATGAAAGTTATTACATTTTATGGATGACTAGTACATCGGGAAAATTGCTGACGGAAGATCTTCATCGGCGAGAGAAGATGTAGGTAAAGAAGATGGCATTACCTGATGATTTTTTCAATACGAGGAAAGCAATGCACAGCAAATAAAAAAATGACCGAAAAAAGGAACTTATAACTAGCGAATCGAGTTAAAGCTACCTAGAAGACTACAATATGAGCTGTAAGGTTCAGCAACAAATTGTTGGAGACCACAATGACTAGATAACTTTAAACTATCAGGTGAATCAACAGACTTTCCTCGTTTTGATGATTTGACTTTCTGATATAGAAGTTATTTCTGATATAATTTGTCTATGCTTATCATCCTCTTGAAATGAAGACAAAACTGTTAATCATGTCAGCTGTTTTTCCGCTGCTCTTGTCATCCACAAAGTTTAATAACTTTCATCAAAACGTTTGCAACCGTGGATTAAAGTAATGATAAATCGATCAGATACACAAAGCTTGGATGACTATCATAAAAATATGCCATTATATTCTACATTTTCTTCATTACTAAATTATGTGAACGTGCATGTCGGTTTGATCCATTACGGTATTGAAATCAGAGAGTCGTGAGAGGGAATCTTAAATGTTTCGTAATGTCTTATCATTAGCATATGTAAAACTCTTCTGTTTACGACGATTTCCTGGGCTATTTTTCTCTTCCCCTGGTAGGTGTCTCGTTGTCAGCAAAAGTGGCGTGGCATTATTCTGTGTGAATTTTCGAAGAATAGATGATTAGTCGTCAAGTCAAATTCATTAAATTTTTAAAACGGAGAATAGGGCAAGGTGTAATATTATAAATTTTGTGTCTCTACCCTTCCTACCGGATATCACTGTGACGCCTAGTAAATCCATGGTTATTTTCGGTTTTCAGTCTGAGTACTTTCTTTGATATTCCGTAAATGGAAAGAAACATCCGTTTCTTTCCGTTATCGTTATCTTTTCAGTCGAACGTCTGTTACTGATATTGAGTAGATTGTCAGTAAACCGCCACCGATGTTTAACAAGATGAAGTAATTAGTGGCAACAGCAGTTCTGTGGCATCATTAGGATCTTCAGTTTTACATGTGGGTTTCAAGTTCATTTTTTAATTACTCTTATGGAAATTCTTGTTTTAGCCATTGTAAACTTCGCTAATCTGAATGGCACATAGTAATGTTGCTGTAATTTTAATTC